CTGTTCCCATCCCCCAATTCCCCAATAAAAATCTTAAAAAAAAACAAAAAACAGACGGGTCCTGAGAGACGCCAGTCACCTGAGGACCAGGAGACCCTTGCTAAGGTACTTCCGTAATCAAACCTTTGGTTTTTAAGACAAAATCATTCTGCTTCTGCTGTGGACCGGGCGGCTAGGGGCTCAGTCAAGGGCGTCCGTAAGGGTGAGCGCTGAGCCCAAGCTGCATCTGCAGGTGGCCCCAAAACCCCGGCTCTGTAAAGAGGCAGGCAGCCTTTCATGTGGGTTCGAGCTCTAGCTTGACATCTGGATTTTCGTAACAGGTTCTCAAGCCTGCTCCCTGCTCATCTGCTTTCCAACTCCTACGCAAATCTGCTCACCAGCACTTCAGGTTCTGAGCGTGTACCTTCTAACCTCAGGGGTCCAGAACCCAGGAGGAGGCTCAACCAAGAAACTAGTGATGACACTCCTCAGCCCTGCAAAGGTCGTCTGAGGGAGTTGCTGTGTAACCAGGCTGCTCCTCTAGTTTCTCTCTGGGGCACAAGATAGAAAAGCATAAGTCAAACAGTCAAAATGCATTAACCTAGCTGCTCAAAAAATGACCTTCCTTGGACCAAAACTCCACGAACTGAGCTGGGATTTTATACAAGTCAACGAAAGGGGACCATGAGAAACATTTCTGTACGTTACCACACTCTTGATGGAGGCTGGGTGCTCCGCATCATCCAATGCCTCCTCTGTAAGGTCCTAATGATAGACGTTTCTTTAAGAAGTCTCCCTTGGGGATGATAAGAGCTCCGTACTTTATTCTGATTTCCTTTTGGCTCTAGCTACTGTGACCTAAAAAATGATGTATATGCTAATCTGTTTTCACAGCTTGTGAAAATAAAGGTGAAAAGAACATCAGGCCAACCCAAATTGAGGAACGTCCTACAAAATACCTGCCCAGCACTCCTCAAAATGGTTGAGGTGATCAAAAACAAGGCAATTCTGAGAAACTGCAAGTTTAGAGAAGCCTAAGGAGATATGGCAGCAAAAGTGGGATCCTGAGTGGAATGCTGGGACAGAAAAAGGACATCAGGAGAAAATGAATTAAATCCAAATAAAGTATGGACATTAGTAATAATAACATATTGTAGATCAATATCGGTTTATTATTATAGTTGTGACAAATGTACTACGATGATGCAAGATATCAACACTAGGAAAACTGGATGCCCGATACACAGGAATGCCGTACTCGCTTTGCAACTTTTCTGTAACTCTTAGACTATTTGAAAATTAAAAGTTTACTTTAAAATATCTTGATGAAATAAGACATAACTTCCATGTTTCTAAGTGGGCAAATGCAAGAGCAGTAAAAATATCAGTTCTCCCCAAATGTATAAAGTGAATGCAATTCTAATCAAAATCAGTATTCTTCTTAGAAGTCACAAAATTATTCCAGAGTTTATTTATAGAAATAATCAGATAAGAACAGCCAAGAAAATATTTCCCCCAAAAATTAGTGAAAGTGGACTTGGATCAACAGATATTAAAGTATTTTATAAAGCTACAAAAAAAAATAAAATGCCAACGGTAAAAAAGGAACCGGGGAAGCCACCAAAAAACCAACCAGAAATAAATAATTTTCTTCTTCAATATTCAACTATAAATAAATCCACAAAAATGTGAGGAAATTAACTATTAAAATTCCAAATTAATTTCATTCGAATTGTAAAGGTAAAAGTAATAAAATTCGCAAAAACTTGGAAAAGTATAAGTATGGGTGGATGTTCCTTTTAATTGCAAGGCCCGAACTGGAACTTCAAGGAAAAACGCTGTGTCCACTAAAAGAGATAAAATTAAATAGCACAAGACCTTAGTATATTCAAAAAATCCATATGAAAAAGGTTGTGGTTCTTGTGCCTACCCAAAACAGGAAAAAAAAATCATGAATGGGAATTTCATTAATGAATAAATACATACCAATCAAGTCATCAAAAAACACTTATCACTAGTAATCAAAGAACTAAAATTAAAGCAACAGGGTTGCCTACCAAGCCGGCACACAATGAAATAATAAGGAATGATAATACCCAGTGTTGACAAAGCTGTGTGGAAAGAACGCTCTCATACAAAGCCCGTGGGAGTCTGAATTGGGACACTCCTTCAGGAGGACAAGTTAGCAACAATAACAAAATCATAATAATAACGACAATAGCCGAGTTTTGTGCTGTGGGCCAGGACACCATCTAAGGGTTTACCATGTATTAAGCCACCCGGGTCACTTAGCAACTCAGTAAAGGAGGCACTGTTATTATCTACACTCACCAGGGAGGAAACCACAGTCCTGACACATCCTCCAAGGTCATTCTCCAGGCAGGTGGCAGAGGGCGTCAGTCCTCAGCGGTCAGGTTCCAGAGCCTGCGTCCTCCCCTGGACGTGGGACATGATGGACATGCTGTGACCCGGGGATCCTGCTTCTGGAAATTTACCTAAGAAAACAATTGGCAATGTTTAAGGACTTAGGTGTACAATGATGTTTATGGCAACAATTGTATAAAAGCAAGGAAAAGACAATATAAGTTATCGGCAGTAGAGAACTGATTAAATAAGTTGAGGTATCTTCATACAATGGGGTAGTATTCAGTCATTAAAGCCTGGAATAGAAAAATGATACATTATTGTTGAATGAAACTTTACAAGGATAGATATGGAATTGCATACTCTAAACACCAGTGTAATTTAGGCCTACAGATTATTTTTATGTTATTATTGATGTTTTCTGTATTTTACAAATGTTCTAAGTAAGCATGCATTGCTTTTGTCATGGGTTACATACTTTGTTCCGTGTTTTAAAATGATAAAGAAAAACTGTTCCTTTTGATTCCTATGTCTGACCTGTCTTCCTTTCCTTCATTCTGATTTTCTGTCTAGTTCAGAAACCTTGTCATACCGGTACCCTTTGCTATGGAGTTTAGGGTGGCATATTAATAAACAAGTAAAAATATATAGTACAATAGACAGTTCTTGACCAAAGCATTGGAGGGAACGGAGATGCCAGTTCATCACCAACAGCTCAGTGAGTTCCGAGTTAAGTCACAAAGAACGCCAGCTCTCTCCGTGGGCTGGTGCTCCGCAGACCTTCGAGCACAAGTCCAGGCAAACAGGGACTCAGTCCCCAGCCTCACACCTGGCCTTCCTCTGCTGAGCACCCTCCCAGCCCCGGGGCGGGCACTGTGGAAGGAGCTGGAATGTGGGGTTGGAGACGGTCACCCCTCACAGCTTGTGAAAGCTGGGCAACCAATATAGTGCTCTGTCTGACCCCTAGGACCTCGAAGGCCAAGACCACCAGTCTCCTGGATGAAGCCGCCTGGCCACCTGTGGGAGGACAGTCACAGGTGCCAGGTCTCCTAAGCTTTCTGGTCCACATGGGCCAAGGCTACCCGACGTTCGCAGTGTGCGGAGCCTTTTTCCCTGCTGGGATGTCCCATGATACATGCGGTACGTTCTGGTCTGTGAAACACACTCATGCCCATTGTCTTGGTAGATCCTGAGAGCAGCCTGCCGTGTGCTGCTGTCACCAGGTCTTTGTGGCCATGTTCTCTGCTGTGTCCTCGGCATCCAGGACAGCGCCTGTCTGTGTGCACTGAACAGCAATGGATGTGGCAACAAATGGACATTCTTGGTAAGGTACATCGCATATTGTTATCTGTCAGATGGAGCTATCAGGGTTATTGTGGAGATAAAATCAGGTCCTGGTTGCAAAAGGTTCCTCGAGGCAGCTGACACACTGTATGAGGTAAATGGAGGTATCTGAGGGAACAAAGTGTGGAAGGCAGTCCCCCTTTGCTAAACGCAGAGGTGTGGCTGCCTGCAGTGCTTCTGAGACCCAGGGTCCTGAAACGGCAGGAGGCCTTGCAGGGTGGGGTGGGGCTGTACCCCATTTCACCACAGCCCCTCCACCCAGTGATTCTCACAGCCGAGCAGTGAAGAAATCCCTTTTTTCTTGTCACCGAAACTTTGCAGAAGAAAGGCAGCACCTGAGGGGCCCAGGTTGCCCAACTGCCCTGCTGAGTGTCGTTGGCAGAGTCAGGCACGTCCTGGGAGCAGTTTTTCCAGAAGGATAGATGGATTTGTGCCCATCTAGCCTTTTCATTGTGATGAAAGCCACTGACCCCTCATGCCCCTGCGAACCCTGGAGGTTCGCCCTGCTGCCTCTGCCCTGAGGGTCGGGGAGCCACCTGGAGACACGCAGTCTCCCTGGGCCTCCCCACATCCCTCCTCCTCATCAGGACTCCTTAACCTGGCTTTCCACCCCCTCCGCGAGGCGACGTGCTCGTCCCTGCACCCGGGCATGCACCCTGCAATGGCCTGCACGGGCCCTGCTGTGACACACCCACACCTCCACCCTGGCTCTTCCCTCTGCCTCGAACTCCTCCCCTACTCACTTGGTCCCTCTGACAGAGTCTAAAGAACTCTAGGTCTGGGAGTCCCCACGACACTGTGTATTTTTTTTTTTAAGATTTTTATTGGGGAATTGGGGGGATGGGAACTGTGCTAGGGAATTGGGGGAAGGGAACTGTGCTAGGGAATTGGGGGAAGGGAAACAGACAAGTTGCTGTCATTTTGTTCTTCAGTCTAGTTGTGGAGGACGTTGCTTCACTGGCCCAAGTTGGCACCATCATT